GGATTAAATGCAGACACAATGAACCATGTCTAAATTTTATGTACATACAGAACTTTGAAAATTTTAATATGGCTGTGTACTCTATACATTTTGTGTGGGGGAGAGTACACATCTCTTGGAAAAACTGGGATAATGGCGGCTTCTTCACATAGTCTCTGTGCAAGATGTGTATTACAGATGCATGTTAGTATGAGCGAAGACATAAAGCCATTGTTCCTGAGCCTCAGATGTGTTACTGAGCACAGTATTAAGAGATCATCACCACTTCTCTTGAAATATAATGAAAATGTAACTTTGCAAGCCTCCTCTTAAACAAGCTTTCCGCTTGCTACTTGGCTATGCATTAAATCTTGGCATATACAAAGAAATAAAAACAGAGTAATTCCAACGATTCATCTATGTTGACTGGATTATGAAGATTAACTCTTCAGATGGTGTTCCAAAGAAGCCATCAAATATAAGTACAATTGAAAATAAAACCCTGGAAAACATTTCAATATTGATAGGCAAGTGAACAGCATATAGTCAAGACACCACTCTTAGCTGCATAAGATCAGTGTGTAATCACGAAGGATTAAAAAGTTCAATTCTCTAGGGAATATAATAGAGATTTCAGCTTGAGCAAGGTGTAGTTTCTGGAAATAATATGGTATAATTATTCTCGTGACAGAAACACACATACAGGGTATATAGGCTTAATACAACTTAAATTTTAGGTCATTGTGCTGTATATTTTAAAATGTAATAAATTAGCTTTACTATTAATTCCCTAAAATATTCTAACCTTGAGTCTTACAGAGAGCAAGGTCCTCTTCTCCAAAGTAGGCTGTTGGTTGCAGTCAGTTCACACAAATCTTAGACCTATATCATACTGCAGTGTTTCTCCAAACGTGTTGTATATGCCACTGCTGATACATGGATGATTTTAGATGATCCGGGGAGTATTTTCTATTTTAATAACAAAGATGATTATAGTGATAATATAAAAACAGGTGCTACCTACAGAGCATTTACTAGGTACTGCCAAGCACAAACTAGCATATTAACTTACATGGCCTTCACAAGACCACTAGGTGGTACCTGCTATTATTACCTTCTTCAATGAACACAAAGAAGATTGAGCACAGAGAGGCTAAGTACTTGTTCAAAACCACAGAGCTGAACTGGTCAGATATAAGTGTCAAACCTAGGAAATTTAGCTTAGCATTTATAATTTTTCATTTCATAAATACAATTATTGTATGAGTTTTTATTTTTTGGAGCGGTTTTTGCTATAGGGCGCATGTGCTTGCCAGAAAGAGAGAAAGAGAGAGACAGAAAGCAAGAAATCACCCCCGGAGGGATGGCCACACCGCAATCCCTTCTCCTCCATTTTCCTCTAGATCATCTTGGGCACACCCTCACACATGCCCGGTGTGAGTTTAAGCCATCGAGTCCAGGATTCGAACCACAGTCGACTACATGGAAGTCCAGTGACATAGCCATTACACCAACTGCTGGTCCCATGAGTTTTTATTCTTATTTGCTAGAGTGTGTGTGTACTTGCTGAAGAGAGACAGAGAGAGAGGGAAGGTAAGAAGGCACTCCTCAAGAGGGATAGTCACACCACAATCCCTTCTTCTTCCTTTCTCTCTCCTTTCAGGATTTTGGGTACACATGCACTCACACGCAATGTGTTTCTCAAGTCACAGGGTCCAGTACTTGAACCATGCAATGAGCCATGTGGGATCTAGCTATCTTAACCACAATGCCACTGTCTGGCCTAATTAATTTTTTTAAGTGGATTGGTTTCATAAAAAATTAAGAAATATAAATCTGTGGATATAAAATGAAGTCATACAAGTTGTAGGTGTATGTCTGGTCTTCAGGTAACACTGCTCTAACACACAATTGTGTGTTTTGGTGGACATCTGAGATTAAGGATCCTCCTGGGCTGTGAAGTGACTGCCAAGAGGCAAATGACAAGGCAGTAACTAGGGTTAACGTACCAACAAAGACCCCTTTAGAGATGAAGAGCTCTACCTTTTTACTTACCTGCTTTCAATTTCTTCCAGAAAATTCTCTTATTTGGATAGGAAATCTTGCTACTTTCACAAGTTTTTAAGACATCACACAGTCATATTTCTAGGGGAAATATAAATAATTCAAATTATTCTAAAAAAGAAAGACTTCGATTACTGTATATTACAATTTGAGAAAAAAAATTAAACTTAAGAAAAAGCTGACAGTCAGATCAAAAGCATTACAGGAAGTTTCTTGCTCATTTTCTCTGGAGGTTAAACCAGAATATTTTTTTAAGAGGGCAGAAGTTTAAGGTCTAGCTAGGGAATAAAGACATGTTTTGTCTGACACTTCCCAATTCAAATCTAACATTTATCAAATGATTCTTAAGTACTGTATTTTTAAAAAAAGCCAGAAATGGCAGCATGGGTATATTAAGCTTTCATTATTGTAAATTTATATTTTAAAAACCCAGTATCTTTTCTGTAAATAGGCAAGGGTTTCTCTGACAATTTCTCTTTATGAAAAGCCACCTCTTACTGAAACATTTTAAATAAAACTCCTATATCTAAAATGAATTCTTGGCATTTGGGAGTTTAAAAATCTCCCTAAATTCTGGGGTGACGGCTGGGGGAGAGAAAAATTGCATAATTATAGTCATCTTTGTACAAGTCATCGAGTAACAGAAAATGTTTAAACCCAAAAGTAACACCCTAGAGTGGCATCTACAGAAAAAAACCAACAACAACAAAAAGGTACTTACTAACATTTTAAAACTGTCATGCAATTTGCTAATAATTAAATCAGAAGAAAACGTGCACAAGCATTTTTTGATAAAGGCAAACAACATCCGAAATTGGCAAGAACTAAATACAATCGGCCACTGGCTTTGTGAAAAACCAAATGCTTTAATGAGGCTATCAAGAACAACAGTTCAATTATTTCATTGGATACATTAATATTGATCCATAATATACAGTGCTATGGACCATACAGAAATTATTGCTGCATCCAACAGCAGGTGACTATTATTAACATTACAGTACCAAGTGTCCACAAGAGACAGTCATTTGTCATTTTTATCAAGAAATAGGGTTTTTTTTATACTGTTATCAACATCGACTTTCCCCCAGTGCATTTTTCCTCTAAAATATTAGTAAGTGCACTCCTTTCTTACATGGCCTTCACAAGACCACTAGGTGGTACCTGCTATTATTACCTTCTTCAATGAACACAAAGAAGATTGAGCACAGAGAGGCTAAGTACTTGTTCAAAACCACAGAGCTGAACTGGTCAGATATAAGTGTCAAACCTAGGAAATTTAGCTTAGCATTTATAATTTTTCATTTCATAAATACAATTATTGTATGAGTTTTTATTTTTTGGAGCGGTTTTTGCTATAGGGCGCATGTGCTTGCCAGAAAGAGTGAAAGAGAGAGACAGAAAGCAAGAAATCACCCCCGGAGGGATGGCCACACCGCAATCCCTTCTCCTCCATTTTCCTCTAGATCATCTTGGGCACACCCTCACACATGCCCGGTGTGAGTTTAAGCCATCGAGTCCAGGATTCGAACCACAGTCGACTACATGGAAGTCCAGTGACATAGCCATTACACCAACTGCTGGTCCCATGAGTTTTTATTCTTATTTGCTAGAGTGTGTGTGTACTTGCTGAAGAGAGACAGAGAGAGAGGGAAGGTAAGAAGGCACTCCTCAAGAGGGATAGTCACACCACAATCCCTTCTTCTTCCTTTCTCTCTCCTTTCAGGATTTTGGGTACACATGCACTCACACGCAATGTGTTTCTCAAGTCACAGGGTCCAGTACTTGAACCATGCAATGAGCCATGTGGGATCTAGCTATCTTAACCACAATGCCACTGTCTGGCCTAATTAATTTTTTTAAGTGGATTGGTTTCATAAAAAATTAAGAAATATAAATCTGTGGATATAAAATGAAGTCATACAAGTTGTAGGTGTATGTCTGGTCTTCAGGTAACACTGCTCTAACACACAATTGTGTGTTTTGGTGGACATCTGAGATTAAGGATCCTCCTGGGCTGTGAAGTGACTGCCAAGAGGCAAATGACAAGGCAGTAACTAGGGTTAACGTACCAACAAAGACCCCTTTAGAGATGAAGAGCTCTACCTTTTTACTTACCTGCTTTCAATTTCTTCCAGAAAATTCTCTTATTTGGATAGGAAATCTTGCTACTTTCACAAGTTTTTAAGACATCACACAGTCATATTTCTAGGGGAAATATAAATAATTCAAATTATTCTAAAAAAGAAAGACTTCGATTACTGTATATTACAATTTGAGAAAAAAAATTAAACTTAAGAAAAAGCTGACAGTCAGATCAAAAGCATTACAGGAAGTTTCTTGCTCATTTTCTCTGGAGGTTAAACCAGAATATTTTTTTAAGAGGGCAGAAGTTTAAGGTCTAGCTAGGGAATAAAGACATGTTTTGTCTGACACTTCCCAATTCAAATCTAACATTTATCAAATGATTCTTAAGTACTGTATTTTTAAAAAAAGCCAGAAATGGCAGCATGGGTATATTAAGCTTTCATTATTGTAAATTTATATTTTAAAAACCCAGTATCTTTTCTGTAAATAGGCAAGGGTTTCTCTGACAATTTCTCTTTATGAAAAGCCACCTCTTACTGAAACATTTTAAATAAAACTCCTATATCTAAAATGAATTCTTGGCATTTGGGAGTTTAAAAATCTCCCTAAATTCTGGGGTGACGGCTGGGGGAGAGAAAAATTGCATAATTATAGTCATCTTTGTACAAGTCATCGAGTAACAGAAAATGTTTAAACCCAAAAGTAACACCCTAGAGTGGCATCTACAGAAAAAAACCAACAACAACAAAAAGGTACTTACTAACATTTTAAAACTGTCATGCAATTTGCTAATAATTAAATCAGAAGAAAACGTGCACAAGCATTTTTTGATAAAGGCAAACAACATCCGAAATTGGCAAGAACTAAATACAATCGGCCACTGGCTTTGTGAAAAACCAAATGCTTTAATGAGGCTATCAAGAACAACAGTTCAATTATTTCATTGGATACATTAATATTGATCCATAATATACAGTGCTATGGACCATACAGAAATTATTGCTGCATCCAACAGCAGGTGACTATTATTAACATTACAGTACCAAGTGTCCACAAGAGACAGTCATTTGTCATTTTTATCAAGAAATAGGGTTTTTTTTATACTGTTATCAACATCGACTTTCCCCCAGTGCATTTTTCCTCTAAAATATTAGTAAGTGCATTCCTTTGTGCTTTATTTTGTACCATTTAACTTCCTACATATTTTATTGGTTCTTATTGCTTTATTATTTAAAAACAACCACATAGAACTTTGTCATCCTATGACCAGGTTGGTTGTATGGTTTTTTGGCAAAGTCAGAAGGTTTGGTACTTCCATTGCCTTTTCCCAAGGCAAGTGAACGATTTTGGCGTTTTGATTACTCCTTATGGAGGCCCAATCCTGAGCCACAGTTCTGCACCCAGATATAGGGGGAGTGGTGTGGATCATTCTCTATAACAACAATGAGCACAAACCACTGCCTCTTGGCTTACCTAGTCCCTAAAACGAACCCACATTCTATTTGGCAAAAAAGAAATAAATAAAACCACCCCTAAGGTTGCAGCACTCTTCTGGGCTTGCTCCCCGTCATTCTCAGAAACTGTCTCTTAAGTAGAAGGGGACAGAGAGGCAGGCGATGACAAGCTCAGGAGTTGCACGACTCAGGGTGGTGGTACAAGATGCCATACTTTCAACAAAGCTTTCTATCAGGTGGCTTAACCACGGCCATAACCCCTTGGCCATGGGTTAATTAGCCTTGCTCTGTTTTTGAAAACCTTTAAAACCAGCTAAGGAAAACTAGCATCATAGCATCGTGATCTTCAACTTTCACACCCAGTCCTCTCCTTCCCCATATAAATGTGAAGCGAGAAAAACAGACAATGCTATGATTGTATCAATGAACACTATGGTACAAGTAGCTGTTCATGCAGATCTGCATCACTATTCTAAGAAAAGAGCTATACAGTGAAGGGAGTTGAAAGAATGGGAACTAATTTTCCCTACCCCCTTAAGTAATAAAGCTATAAAACTGATAGCATCATCAGTATTTCCAAAGATTCTCATTGCCCAAAGTGCATGGGAACTACGCAGTTGATTATTTTCACCTAAGCCATCCATTCATATATGACAATCACTCCTTCCCTCTGAACCCTCCATCACCCATCACCAATTCACATTTGACATTTAAACACTTTTTAAAAAACCCCTCCTGAATAAGGTTTCCTGATGAAAGAAGTTGGCACTCTGTCTCTAAAATATATTTAATATTAAAAATCTCTGAAGGAAAATTGGAAGCTCTTATATTGTCTACATAGGCACCATGCTACATACTCCTCTTGACTATAGATACCATCTTGAAACTTTCCTCTACGTTACAGATCAGTCAGTGCTAGTCCAAAAAAGACTACTGCTATATTTAAGGCACTTCATTCTGAATGGATATGCTTTATGCCACTTGCTATTCAATTGTAGGCTGTTACTGAGAAATTCCATTCAACAGCCTGGCTCATAACGCTATATGTCATCAGTATAAAACATCTAGGTTTGATACATGGAGCACTACTATTATTGCATAGGACTACACAAGTAGATAATGCACTGAAACTAACTTTACAACATTGCTGCTTGTTAAAACATTGTTATCAAGTAACAGTAATTTGCCAATACAGTATTTTTCTCCTTAAAAAATTGTTTTCAGCAAGCTTGCTGAAAGAAATCCCAATTTAAAGGACCATAATGGGCATATTAACACTATGGTTATCGGTCTCCAAGAATATTGCTATTTTTACATTGCTAAAAATAAATATGTAAGTTTATTCTTTCTAGAAAGCCTGATATTAACCTATTAATATACACCTTAAATGTGTCGAAAAACAGTTCTGAGTGAGGCTGTAATATAGAAAATATTTGCAAAGCTTTCTTTGAACACAAGACCTTGCATAAAAGTTTTCTTTCATAGGTGTACAAAGGATGCGGAAAACTGCCAGTGAGTTGTAAAAATATTGAAAACTTGCCGTTTTAAGATGCATATTCTTACAAATTAATACAAACATACTGAAAAGAACAATGATAATAAAGAATCTGTACAAATCAAATGAACACTAAAACATAATTTAAAAATAAAAAGTCAAGCCAATTAGAAATGTGCCCAGTTGTCTTATCCAAAGCAAAAATGAAAAAAAAAAAAAAAGTAAAACAAATTTTCAGTGCTCAATACTTCACTTAGAGAGGACATTCATTGCCATTTCAAAATAAAACACATTTTATGAAAAATTGAATCACACTCATTGATGAAGAAAACTGAACAATACAAAGTAAAGAGAACAAGACTAGACTCTCTGGTTTAGAGCCTTGGTCTTAACTCCCATTAATTTTGGTTGGTATCAGTTATGTTTTCTAACCAGACAATCCTCATGAAAATGGCTGCTTTTTTTTTTTTTTAAATCTTTTACAGTGTATAATATTTCTTTAAATAGTTTGTAGTATAAAGACTAAATGATGCTAGAAGGGTACTGTATCTTTAAGGCAGTACCAATCAATCAATACATTTATAAAACGGAAAAGGGTTAGTATGGATTTCTTTTCCTCTTTCTTTGAAATTTTTTTGGTTGCTTTACATTCTTTCAATTAAACTTTATATTTAATTTCTAAGGAAGTCACAGGCATAAAAATCTCAAATCGAGTTTCCCCTGAATAAAAATGGACAGACATTTCTCTGATGCAAAATCCTCTTGCTCAGAAAACTAAAGTCTGTGGTGAATTCAGTTCACAGATACTGCACACTTACTGTACAATACTTTGGAGGCATTTGTAGTTGTAAAATAGAATATACAAGTCTGTTTCACAAAATTCTAAAAATAAAATATATCCTGGGCTATTGATAAAGCATGAAAAAAAAACCTTTTTTTCATAATAAAGAAAAAAAATATCAAGAAAACCCCTCAGGTAAATTATTAAATCTACTCATCAAGAAAAGGAAGCAGTTTGTGAGAATGCAGAGCAGGGAGGTTTCGCTAACAAGCGTGCTCGGTTTCTTCCATGCTCATACTGCTCCTTCGGCTGCTTGTTTTGGATGCTCCCGGGGAAACTGAGGAAAGGAGTGGGTCAGTTACGCCGACAGGAGAAAGAT